ACGACGACTACTACTAGTACTAGCCGCCTCCCCTCTCACCCACTATGTTTGCTCAAATGGCTTCTATAAATATGGGGGAGTCAGCATTAGCAAACAGTAGCGACATGACAACCACATGCTTTCCACGCAGGGTGCGGTTCATTCTCCAAAGCCTGCTTTGTGAGCCTTCTCTGGCCATCAGAGGCTTGAACTATGGCCCCCAAAGATGCCAACCTGAACACACTCATCAAAGACGTCGGGGAGACAGTCAAAATGCGGGCCAAAACAACGGTCTCATGGATCCACATAGGCTTGCGGCAAATTGATTGTCGGGGGTCGGCTTATACGTAATTTTCCCCCTCCCGCCTTTCCACCAACATAGCCTCCGGCTACTATTATTATTATTACGACAATATTACTGCTGATATTTCTACGACTACTACTGGGAGATCATGATGACATAACGATTAGAACCATGCTGGTGGATGTGGCATTTCAGAAGAAAGCAGTTGTTGGGGCCTCTTGGCAAGTCCCCCATCGCGTGCACTGTCCTTTTCAGCACCATGACTAAAGACATGGTTATGGACAGCAGCTTCTTGTAACAAAAACATGTACACAAGACTGTCTTCAAAAACTTAAAAAAAAATCCTGGTGTTATACGATTCTGAACCGAAGTTTCTCAAGAAGTTGATAAGTAAAAGGGCCCTTGCTTGGGGTCATACAATCCTAAAGCGATTTGAGAACAGAGGGTCCTGGAAGATTAGCTTTTGTGGGTCGACACTAGGAGGATTTCAGTGAAGAGAATTCTGCAAAGGCGGCCTTTGCATGGCCATTATCCACGATTAGCTTTCGACAACAGAGAGTGCCAAAAGTAGGTCTTGCCAAATACCAGTCGCAAACGCTTCACACAAGACTGCCTGTAGATATGTTTTTAAGATTTCTCCTACATGATGGGGAGTGTTCCTAAAGGAGCATTTAAAGGTTTCTCTTAAAAGATCATGTCGAATAGGGTCTCACAAAGACATGTTCGGGGGGATGCTACATATAGACTATAAGCCTATTTCCTTGAAAACGTGCATTCCAACTTACGCCAAATTCCAGTGTGACCTTGATTTTTTTTGCTACACAAAGCATTGTCAAAGAGGCCTTTGGAAAACTCAAGTGCAGACAACCCACCATTTTGCCGCGCCTTTTTTCAGACCGCCTCGCTGACTATTTTTGGGAATAGCTACACCCCGAGGATGGACGTGATTGTAGTTCTGGCATGGATGCTGGGGGGATCAGAGATGTCAACATGGACGTTATCATGGCTGAGGCTTGGACGTTGTGGGTAGCGGATTTACTGATATGGATGTTGTTGTAGCTTGGGCATGGATGTTCAAAGGGTTGTGCATACTCCTACATGGATATTCTCCATTGCTTGGGCCCGGCATGTGTTTTTCCTTTGAAAAAGTCAAGAAACTTTGCTCATATTTGGCTTCAACAAGTCAACTTTGGAAAATTCAATTTGGCAGTTGATCTCTCTGATCACACACCCATTCATGTCCCGAAATGACACATAGAAGCCCCACGGCTCATTATGAGACCAGTACCAACAAGAAGACACTGGTTGCCAGTTTGTTCTCCTGCTGCTGCTGCTGCTCGCAAGATAACTAAACACTATCATTGTTACAACAATCAGAGTGATAGGAACGCTGTTACTACCAGTGATCCCATTCTTCGAAATTCCTATTCGCCTTCTCGGTAGAACTTGAACATCCCTCTGCCAGGCATTGGTGGAGAAGATTTGGCAACTCGTGCAAGATTCAAAGCCAGCCCTGGAGCAGAATCTTGAAGGCATCCAGGCCTGGGCTGAGGGCGAGTCAAGGTCTCAATGAGTTGCTGAGGGTCAAAGACTTAATGAGGGATCTTATCCATATTTTGCAAAGTCATCTGAGGTAATGGTTGTGGTCACAGCCGTCGCAGTAATTGTCCCTTTAGTAGACGGAGCAATAGTACCGGCAACAAGTAGGAACGTAGTAATAGTAGTGGCGGAAGAAGAAGTGTCCTTACACCCTTCGTGATGTGTTCGACATGTGGGAACAGTGCTGAAAACAGCTCCTTCGCATGCATACCTTTAAGATCCTGTACTAAAAAGAGCTGCAGCATGACGTGCTAATTTTTTCATCTGCTTCCAACGAGTGTTCACACTGTATTCAAGGATCTTGTTGTCAAGCTGCACAGCAGATTCGTACATGCGACTTTCCACAGCCACCCTGAAATTTCACAGCCCGCCCCATTTGCTTAGGAATCTCTATCTTAGTTTCTGCCGGCTGGGTGGCCAAACGAAACTATACCACAGCTCTGTACGCGTTAGATTTGTGTAGGTAATGGGGTGGGAGCATTTGGTAGTGCAGGTGCAGGGTCTGTAGCTTCAACATGATTGATCAGCATTTGAGTTTGAAACATAAGCCCCAGAACCACAAGCCCACATTGCATGCTGCAAACGGCTCAGCGTACATTCATCACGTGGTCCCTTCTCAGACCAGAAACCCAATTTCTAGAACACCTGGTCGCTAATATGTTTGAGATGCAGATGAGATCTTCTGTCACCATCATGATGGCAAGATACTTCACATATTGTTCGTGGTTTGCTCTTATAACTAGCACCACGACGTCCTTCCGATCATTTTTCTAAACATTATTTCACAATGTGCATTGTTATGCATTGTTTTCACCTTTGGTTTCAGAGACATTCGTATACCTACCAACAGTATAACACTTCAAGTTGTAGGTCATCTTCTGGTTGCGAACATGTCCCTGTCCACATTTAGCCGCTGATTTGCTAGTGTCCTTCTCTCACGCATGAGCTCGTGTTGCGACACACGTTGTAGAATCAACATAACCAAACACAGCCATTTCTGAATGCCGCACAGGCCACGCTGACCACTGAAGGTAAAGGCATGTCGAATTGCGGCGGAGATGCGCTGCAGAAGTGCCTGGCTGATTCAGTCTTGCCATTTTCGATGGTGGGGCTTTTCGGGATGTTCTAGATGAAAAAAATCTCATGCAGCAAGCTACCCTTAGCACGTCCCACAAACAAGGAGTGCCTCGACGTTCAAAACGGACTTTACGGCAAAGAGCGATGCACACAAAACATGCCGGCAGACGGAGAAGTTGAAGCCGGAACTTGTTTGTCAGCACCTTCTTTGTGCAGCTTAGAATATACTCTATGAAGAGAAGTTGAAGCCAGTAAGCATTCCAGACCGCTCAGGAATTTCAACGAACACAAGACATGCGACAAAGACCATCAGACGGCAAAAGCCACCCAGACGACAAGCTGCGATGCCGTTCCTAGATGGAAATATTTAATTGTTTCGTCTTTTTATTCTGGGGTTATGAGCGCAGAAAGGGATTAACCGGTGGCTGCCATGGAGAAGACCATGTATGAGTACAAATCCACTTGCGAAGTGCAAGCAGGCGAGACCTGTGAGGCTTTCCACTCCCGGATTATAGAGGCATCGCAGAAACATCTAGCCGATTACAAGAAGGCGAAGTCAGCTTGTGAGGATGCCAAGAAGGCGGTGGAAGAAAAAGAAACAGAATGCACCACTGCGCTGAAAACCTACGAGTCTCAGAAGACGAATTGTGACAGCGTCCAGGATGCGATGGACAGCTATTCATGCTCCTACACCGAAAAGGCCACCACCGAATGCGAGGCGGCTCAGGAATGCTACACCAAGGCTGTGAATAATTACGACACTGTGAAAGCCAGTTCTCAGCAGCAGCTGGATGCTTTGAAGCAGGACCGCTTTGCATGGGGGAGGTAGGTGCCACGCTGCATTCTTGCCTGCCCAGCCATCATGCTTCCCTGTTAGGAGTGGCGTGCTCTCTTGCGCATGGAATGCATTATCAAAGTCTTTGAACTGCCAGAAGGGGACCGGGCCAAGGCTCTTGATCAGTGCCAGCTTAAAGACGTGGCCAAGCAAAGCGATCAAGACCTCGCCTTGCAGTTCCCTGTCAAGCCTGGCAAGCCTTCATGCCAAATCACGACAGACCCACCTGGCAGCTCGGCCTACAAGACGGCCAACTACAACAGCCTGCCCGCGGAGGCCCCTGCAAAGGCATGCGTCGCAAGTTGCTGTGAGCCCCTTGTTCATCTTATTCGGAAGTGGTGTGATGCATGATTTAGCCAGCTTGCTTCCCGGATGTTTCATCATGGAAGTTCTTATGCGGCAATGTGTGTGGTCCAGTCGTGCTTAAGTAATCCGCATGTTTTTCAACCTTTTCTTCGGCCTTTCCCAGGCAATCTGCAGGCGTGTCCGGCTTGGACTTCTCAGGGCTTGGCACCACGCCTTCAGGAAGCTGGTCCCTGGCTCTCAACATCGATACAAACGATGGCAACGTTGTAGCCTACCCGCATCTTATTCGCACCCTGGAACGCGTAGGTTGTGCTGCCGCATCTCGAAAATTCTTGTTTCTTCTTATAAGCCGTGCCAGAATCGGAAGCAAGTAAGGAATGTTGAGTTTTGGGAGTCGGCTACGGGCTTGGGAGGTGCCAGCGATCAGATGTCGGAGCGTTTCACCCGGGACTACAAGGATCCATGGTTGGGGCTTCGGGATTTAAAGCTTTAAGTTTAGGATTGGTGGTTAGTTGCTGAGCATTGGCATCCCAAAGAAGTAAAGCACAGCAACAGCATTCAAAGGACGCAGATGTCTTCAGCAACAAGGAGGCCAAGGAGCTTCTGATTGTTTGCCACGATGAGGGCAAGGCCATCAGGAAGGCGACAAAATGCACCAGAACGAGAAGATATTCAAGATTTCTGAAATTTAGATTCGATTCGCTGAAATTGGATGTACCATAATTTTTCTTTAAATTCAGAAGAGTGTTCATTTCTATGGAATATCTCAATAAAACGGCACGGCCACTTGCTTGAGGCCATGATGATACCGATATCAAAGCTCTGCAATAGGGCTTGAAATATAAATGTCTGCTTGCACCTTGGTCTAGGGCTGGGTAGCTGATGACGGTGATACAGCTTTGCGATAGGATTTGCAAAAAAATCCCTGTGGGCCTGGACCTTGGGATGGGGCTGGGCAAATTGATGATCTTTGGACCTCGTTCGATATAGGATTGATATAGACTTCTTCGACATCATCGTTCATAAGTGATTAAGATTTTCCGAATGCTTCGCACGGGAAGATTGTATTGATGGAAATTGATGAAGACGAATTACAAAAATTGAGGATGCCCCGCGGGAGCACAGTTTTGAAGATATGAACGATTGCAATAGGCTCCTGATTTTCGGGGTCAAGCCCCTAGTTCCAGGAAGACGAATTGACAGGTTGCTTAGGGCTTGGAGCATTGAGCTGTAATCTCGGAGCGCTGGGCGGACTTTTTCTTTCTTGTTTGTATCCTGTGCGTGTCCGCCATATTCTGTTCAACATATCTAGAGCCTCTTTTTTTGCTTCATGAGTGCATGAAGCTGATATGGCTGGGGCAGCCGTGCTGTTTGTTTTTTGGTTCTGTGGCAGGATTTGTTGGGGCTAAAGACGAGGTGTCTTGAACAAGCTGTGGGGAGGGAATAAATATGCCTGAGCCAAACCATGCGGGCAGGATCGTGAGCCACTACCGGGAATGGGGCTGCCTCGCAGTTGGACACCCAGAGCTGCAGTAAGCTCTCTATAGGAAGGGTTCCTAGTTCTAAGTTGGGTTAGGAAGGAGTTAGAATGAAAGACGGCGTTGATTTCCGTAACCTGTAGCTGTGGGACTACACCTTTGCAACCGTGAGCCTTGTAATGGTTGAGGAAATTCCTGGTGTTTGGAGATGATCGGCTTTTCTTGGGACCGCAGGGGTACTATGTGGGTGGTTGTCAAAATTATGGTCCCTTTTTGATCCTTTTTGGATCCCTAGTATATTATGGCACCTAGTAACTTAGTAACCTAGTATTTAGGGTACCCAAAAAGGGACCATACCATAATTTTGACAACCACCCATGTACAAGGCTGTGTGCGTGTGCTGGGACCAACGCGTCGACGTCAATGTTGTAGGCGTTTGAGTTCAGGCTGTTGAAGCAGGTTTACGGAGCGCATTAGGTGCACGAAGAGGGTTTTGAAGGGGACATTGTAGCACATCAGGATCACTCTTAGTTACTTTGGGCGTCTTGGGGGGCTATTTGTGAGACTTTCCATAGAAGGAGTTCTGATTTGAGCGGTTCCTTCACCTTGGGACGAGCACCGATTTGGGTTGAACATCCTTCCGTTGGGATTGACGAGACTTTTGAAAGCATGACATGAGAAAGTCAACCAGCACTTACCTCATGAGTATAATGTGACTGCTATCCGCGTTGCTGGTTTGCTTCCAGTAAGGGCTTTGTATATGGCTCCCCCATGCTTAGGGGGCACTGTAGACCTGAATATACCCGAATTGTTTTTCATAAGGACTCCCAAGCCCAGGCCCCACGCTTTGGAACCCCCCATATAAATGTCACAGGGCAGGGGGCAGGATCCGGAGCATCACAAGCATCTCCGATAAGGCCACAGGTAGCAGGTTAGTTAAGGCAAGCTGTAGCAGGGATGTTGCCTAGGGGCCTAAAGGAATGAATGCCCCAAGATTGGAGAATCGCATGGAAAAGAAATTGGAAGTGAGATGGAATGGTCCTTTTTTGAACATTGGGGCTTTTAGGGACAATTTGCCATTTTGGAAAACCCTCTCACCAAAGTCCCGAGCATGTATTTCTGAATATGGCTAGATGATTAACGCTATTCAGACCATGAAGTGGCTTCCCCCAAACTAACATGGACTCCCTTATCGTCCCCTTTGGAGGGACCACAGTCTGCATAGGGTCCCTTATTCCATGTGAGTTTGGGGGATTGTAATCTGCAGGGTTTTGGTAGACTGTCCTTGGCAGGTTTGTCCATACATGCGTGCCGGTAGAAGGAACTTACCTAGCTTCGAAATCGATGTAAGGAGCTGTAGTTCTACCATCTCATAGCTTGATTTGGGGCAACGTATCCACGAATTTTCACATGTAGGTTCATGTGAAAAGCAGGATATACAAATGGGGGCCTGGGCATTACAAGTCAAAAAACAAGGTCCTCCAACGTTTCTAGAATCTTTGCCTTGTTAATATATAGGGTCTCCCAGGAAGAGACCCCCCAAGAAACTGGGAATCCTCACGTTCAGCCAGCTGTAAACCAAAAAAGCCTTCTCGCCTCAGCAATGTTGACAGGTTTTCTCCTTCAACTTCCTGGCAATAGTTCCGCTGGCGCCAGCCTCAGTGAGAGTCAATGTGTAGGCAAGAGAGTTCAAGGGTTTTTGAAAGAAGTGCGGCTGTTCAGAAGATTTTCCTTTCCTTGGTTTGTCATTAGTTTGTAGGCGGCCATGGGCAATTCAGACCAGAATTTGTGTTGACGCCAAAACTGCATGATCAGGTCGATCACCCGAAAAAAAAAAACCATGGATTGGGTTCGGTCATTTATCGGGCCTAGGGTTCCCATCCCGAAGTTACATCCCTGACAACGTAAGTTCTGACGTCTATCTTCACTAGATAAAGTGGAATCATAATGGAGATCCAAATGCATCAGAATAAAGTGGAAACTGGGATTCCATAAAGGTTCTAGGTGTCTGAGGAAGTAGAACTGGGTCTCCATATCTAGGAAACCACTTTACTTACGATGTATCCATATTCTGTCAGCTAAATCTAACCTCCTTAGCATCAGCCCAGACTAGGTGTTTAGGGCTCCGGGTTACATGTGTAGGAATGGTATGTAGGGTAAGAAGATCTGACAAATGCCCTAAACCCTGAACCCTAGAGGACCATGGTGATGGATGCCAAGCACCATTTACTTCACGGTGTTTGGCACCTTGTGCCTGCGGCAGAATTAGGGGTTGTTATGGATACCCACTAGACATGTTATAGTGCCGAGTATTGGGTACGGAAATTGGCCTGGCCTACCTTAACGGAGCAGCCCATCCTGACTTCAACTCTAAATGGAAAATCCGGAACTTTTCAAAACAACTGAGGGAGCTGGGGCGTCGCGGGTAGGGCCTAGGATAGGGTAGCCGTCCGTTTCACGCGTTAACTCGAAACAACTTAAATCCAAGAAATCTTCCACCTTCTACCCCCAACCCTAAACCCAAGCTGAAACCCAAACCCTAAGCCCCAACAGCCTTAAACCTGATCCCCAAGCCTTTGTTTGCAGGCCGGTATCTTGGGAGGAGCTACTGAGTGCCTGGCTGTCGGAGACCTAGAGGTTCCAAGGGTTTAGGGCTTAGGGTTCCAGGATTCCCTGATTGTTTGGTAACTGGTAACTATATATATATATATTATAGGGGTTATACAGGGATAATGGAAAACAAAATGGAAAGTATTAATTAGGGTTTAGGGTTTAGGGTATGGATATGGGGTTTGTCTAGATCGGAGTTGGCTAGTATAGGAGTTATCTGCAAGCAATGATTTTTGATTACGTTTTAGAGTTTACTTCTTCGGGTGTGGGGTGTAAGGGTTGAGGGATGCCCAAATTTGTGGGAAACCCCAAGCTCAAGGATCCTTACTTAGTTGGGGGTGTTTGGAAGGTCTGGGGGGCTTCCGCGGCTTGCGGTGCTGCCCAAGTGACCTTAGACTTCTTCAGGGCTCAGCTGTGGGGCTTAGGCCCACTCTAGAAGCCCTTTGAGCGTTATGCTTTGTAGGGCTCTGTCAGCGGACAGGAAGGTGAACAAAGACCCTTCGAGCGATGTCACGCATGAAAATCTTCTTGCGTCCCTTTTCGGATGCTTGAAGTGTGCTTTGTCACTTTGGTGCTTGTGACAGCTGGAAATGCCTGAAACCTGTACGTTTGTTTGCGCCACTATCAACATCGACGATACCAAAAAAGTTCCACGAGTTCTTGAGGCACGGTCTCAACTCTTCATTCTCCAGGAAGATTGGCCCCTCTTGCTCATATGAGACGTGTTCACTCTTGCATACTGTGGATCACAAGCATTGTAGGGCCCCTGTTTCTGGAACCCTGGACGGTCCTTGGGTAGGATCAAGCCTGATATTCACACCTCCCCCTTTCGCCTTCCAGTGGTACCTGGGCTTACAAAATATGAGAATGACTGATGTTGATGCTAGGGTCACTTAGACCAATTATTCCGAGCATCTGCTCAAATTCCGTATACAAGTACAGTAGCACACACCCCGAAAACCCTGTTCCAACTATTGAGGCCTCTACATTGGTTTTAGCCGGCCTCATTTTAGGCCCCTGCATGACATATGCCTGACATGAAGCGCTACTTCCGTGATGGCGGCTTCAAGACACATGTGCGCTGCTGGAGCCACGCTTCTGCGACCGCAACTTAAGCAGGGTTTCGGTGTTGTTGGGATATTCTGAGCAGCTACAGCTAGTGCGCAATGCACAGGGACAAGCATTCTGGAGTTCTACGTAGCTGTCATGTCAGTGAGTGTTCCACATAAGCCTACAGGTACGAGTGTGCCCTTGGCCAATAAAGCACGGAGCCCCACATGGGTCCCAAACCCTTGTCCCTGAAGCTGTTTGGGGTTGTATGTTTGCCTGAGGGAGGGGTGTGGTTTCTGCTTCCGGTAACAAAACAAACCAACAAACAGTGGCAGCCGCCAGATGGAGAAGGCACCCCCTTGGGTTTGGGTTTGGGGCTTTGGGGTTCGGAGTTTGGAGATGGTTAGTGGTTTTAAGGTTCGGAGCGGGTAGATTCATGATTTTTTGGTGGTTAAGGTTTGCGAATGTTTGAATGAAGGCAGTTGCGAGGGGACGGCCTCACCCCCCCGGTGATCTAGTACGTATTCGATCATGGCTGGATATGGTAGTTTCCCTACATACGCGGACCCCAAGATGGACCCAACA